CGGTTTTCCGGGTTGGTTGCTGTATAAATATTACTGCGCACGCCCAACATTTTTCGTTGCCTGTTTTCGCCTATTTTTGCTTTGGCACCATAGCGCCACTTACAGGCCTGGCATACATTTTGCAGCGTTTTCATGCATTCATGTGGTCGATCACATTTATTTTACGTCTCCGTCTTTAAGACAAACGTTTCGTGTTCGTTTTGACTTCGTGTGGACGGGGCCTAATTCCACAGCTCTAGCTGGTATTATAAAAATAATTACAGAATTAAAGTCCTTCATAACTTGAATGTTGAGATTTAATAAGCTGCATTTTGGCTGACATGCATCATAATCTAGTCTAAACACAAATGGAGTTTCTTTTTTGTTTCCAGGGACTGATCAGTCCTTCTATGTGCTAGTTTCGGAGAATGGATGATAATTTGGGTGTTTACTAACTCAGTCTACACAGAGACCAGACTGAGTGTGTCAGCAAAGCTATGTTGTCATTTAGGCTACGTGTCCACACGGATCCACTGTTTTCAGAGATTGGTGTAGATGATAATTATTGAAACCGAGTCCAAGGCTGGAAAATTTCAGAACACTTGTACACACACGGGTTTCTGTGTGTACAAGTGAGATGAGTCTTGTCTTAAGCAATGTCATCCACTTCCATCTCTCTCTCTCTCTTTAACCCACATGAGCCTCACACTCACAAGGCACCAACAAACATAGTGCCGTTCAGTGTAGCATTCATGCTAAAGCTAAAGCTAAAGCAAACATTGGTCTGCTATGGATGACAGTAGCATTCTCAGATTCTTAGTTTTAAATGAGTCTACTCTACACAGTGTGTCACTTGTACCCCCACAAACAGGTCAAGAAATGTTTGTGTCAAATCCCCATAGGCACAATTCTATGTTTACTCTGTACGTGTGTTTTATTTCTGCATGTGGTAGTGTCAGAACATTACCAATGGGCCAAGGATTCCTACCTAGATGATGCTGCGTTCTGTCCTGTGGCTGCACATTTTTTCTTCATTCTTTATAAAAATGAACAGTCTGTCTTTGTGTGAATGCACGCTCAACTTAGACATAACACTAATCATTTCAACAGATCGTGGGAAAAACAAAAGAGGTAAGGCAAGAGCCATCAGTGGATAGCTGCTAGATGCATCAACAGTTATGGTAGTTATGATATTTTATTAAATAAACCTTCTGTTCTTCTAAGAAGTAAACTCAGACACTTGTGCCTTAGACCTCTAGATCCCTTGTTGTGACATGTTTAATATTGTCCGGTTTACTTATTTTATCCACTTCTGGGTAAACTTTTAATCTACCTAAACAATTCTTGGTTTTCCACATGCCTTTTTAGCAGACAATCCTACACAGACTGAAAGCTTTCAAATTCAATTATCTCCAAGAGAATGCAGACATCTTTACACCTGGTATCTCAGACAATACACTGCCAGCAAAAAACAAAAAGAAAGAAAAACAACATAGACAGTAAAACACGACTGTGAACCAATAAGAACAGTACAGGTTCATATACAACACCTATTGAAGCATTTAGCTGAACTTTAAGCGCAAAATAGAATGTGTAAGCAAGTTTCAAAGACTGGGTTCAGATTATTAATGTGCTGAGTCATAAGGGGGAGATATGATCCAATTGTTTATCATTATATTTTAACTTGATTGATCAATCTCTAATAAAACATTGTCAGTTTAACCAAAACAACAATCTCTAAACAGACTTTCAGAGAGCTTAAGCAAGAGGCTTCTCATAACAACTGCTCAGCTCTTGTGTTTATTATGTCATCCCTTCTCAGACCACAGCTGACTGACCTAATTACACAGTGGGAACGACACCCCAGGACAATAATGGGCAGGCAAGGACAACTGTGTAAAAAAATGAGATGATAAAAGATATGTGTATTGTTTTCATAGACATAAAACAACAAAGACTAAGAGTTTAAATATAATACTCATTTTGACCTGACATGATTTTCTGAAAGACGGATGATTTCCTGTTGCAATAACAACATAGTTGTTTTGCTGGAAAAGTTATATTTGTGTCAATAAATAATATAAAAGCCCAAAGAATGGCTCAAACTAAAAGATATTTAGCCAAAATTATCAAACAAAAGGCAATGTCATGCAAGTTTATAATCTGCTGTCATTTTATTTTTTCTACTCAAACCCCTGTATGTGTGGAAAACGTTTATACAAACAGCATCTGCCAGTTATTCAGTATCACTGTGGGTTATCAGTCATGCAATAAAAAGAAAAAAAAAAAAAAAACCCACAAGAAATCCCTAAAAGTCTAAATGAGGGATTTTCTGAATACCACAGTAATTCCTGGGCAATTTTGGAAAATTTGGCCAATGTAAACGACTGTTTATTTGAGAATAGAGAAAGGTTAAAAAAAATAAAAAAATAAACAGATAAAAAATATTATGACCTTTTAGCTTTTGACTGGCTAAGCTGAGCTAAGATGACCCTTATGTAACCTTTGGGGTTAATTTGACCCCATCACTGTTTAAGGTCTCTAAATAAATGTCTGACATCAAAAGCATGCCAGCAGCCTTTTGAACCAGTTCTAATGTTGATCTTTGTGCTCCCTGTTTCTGCTCAAATGAAGAGAAATTTGTTTCCTTTTCTGTGAATAAGGTGTTTTTAAAACTCTTCGACCACAAACTCAACCTGGAGAAGGACCCTGAAAATGAAGCATCCTACTCTGAGAATGACATTATCGTCTGTCTGCCCACTTCCACAACAGGGTGGGTTACTATTGCAGAAAAACTATTAAAACAGTTGGAGGCCACCAACAGATATGCTGTTATCAAATAAGCATTTAAGCTTTTTACAATATTTGAAAAATAAATAATAAGAGGCGTCAAATTAAGAGAAGAGGGTTTGGGGATACTTAGAAACAGGAGTTTACAGGTCAAAAGGAGAAGCAACAACAACTCTTTGGCCTGCTAACACTGGAAGGGAAAATCTTCCAATAAAAAAAATTGCACCCAATTGTCTTCAGTGTTTTAGGCTTTAAAAGATACAGAAAGACGGAAGGGCAAAGGAGAGCCTAACAAACTGAAATAATAAAAAGCCCTCAGAATAACAAATGGCTCTTTCCTATTCTATCCTGACAACACTGTTCAGGATAAGCTGAGCCACTCCAAATACATGGTTTTATCAAAAAGGAAAGTGTATTGAGGCGCAAATCCAGATAAGCATACAATAAAATGAAACAGCCTAGCAGCAAAGCATCAGAGAGTGATGTGGTCTTCATTATCTGGAGATGGATGAGGTTTTAAACTACACGGGCCATTTCCTAGAACAGGCAAAAGTGGGCAATCAGGGAAAAAGGGCCTTGGTCTAAAGGTTTGATCAATAATCCATTGATTCCTTTGGAAGAGCTTCTAATTTTTTTTTTGCTGGGTTGGAAATCTCCGATGGCAGACACCTCCTTTTCATACACCTTACTTGATTTTTTTTATGCTTTACTAAACAGGCTGGATGGGTGTTTTTCAGGTCTTTATTTACCTTTTTAACCCGGATCACTGTCGTTACCTTGAAAACTGAGTCATACAAACCTTAAAATACAAGAACAAGGGTGCATAATAAAAACAACAAACAAAACACACCTCACTGCTTTCACCAAAGGAACGCAACGCACAGATTTGCCTTTTAGAAGATCAAACATCTGAACCCTGCTGACAGTTGGTTTCCAGTCATTCATTGGTACAACTGATTGCTTCCAGATTTAAAATGAAGTCATCTTTTATTGGGTATGGCATCCCTTGAGGTACAAAGTAAACAAAAACATCTCATTTAAAACTACAATCAACACAATGCTAATCAAAAATAGAGAAACATCTATATGAATCTACACAATTTAGAAAATTATTTTAAAGGATGTATACAAATTATTTGAATAATTCATATTATATTCTTTCTTATTTTTAAGTTAGTTTTAAAATGTATCGTCCTACTCCTAAAATCTTACTCCTGAGTAAGATTTTACTACCAATCTTATTCAGGAGAAGCTATTTTAAAAGCTTAATATAAATAAACTTCAACTAATATAAAGTCTTGCTGTACTTACATTGCATTTAGTTTGCCATGTTTTAAAAATACTTTACTTAAACCCATCTAATAAGGCCTGGCTTGACCTAGTAATACACAAGTTATCTACCAGTGCCTTAAATATCACATACAGATATGTGCTAACCTGGTGAACAACAATAACACAACCACATATTTACAGGAACAACATGCCCTAAATGTGTAGAGATGACCTAAGTCAGGAAATGAGGTCAACGTGCAAACAGAATCTGCCTGCAGGTTATCAGTTAAATAAAATATCGAGTAACTTCAGTCAAGAAAGCCAAATAAATATTATATTGCACGTGGATAATTTGATATCATAAAAATGTAAGCTCATATTGTCAATCTATATATTTAGGATATTTTGTTTAACGCATATTGACTTAAACCAAATTTATATGGTTTTTTTTTTATGAATGACTTTCGCTTATAAATGCAAAAGGAATGATCGTTTATTAAGGATTTGCCCGGAGCAAGGACCTAAGGATAGAGCAAAGAGGATTAGTTTGATCGCTGTGAAGGGAGATTTTAGATCTGTAAACATCAGATACTGCTCCACGTAGTCATAATACCGTACCAAGATTTTACTATGTAATAAACGTTTATTAACTTTGCAAGAGGCGGGCTTGGTTGAGGTCCGGTCTAAACTGACCTGATAGGGGGGTGGTGGTTCCTGATCCAGGTCGGTACCGTCTCCATAGCTGGCCCGGTCCGACTGGGATTCATGTAGCAAAGATATATCATCCGAGGTCGGAGATTTCAAACAGTTTCCCATCTCCTTCCTCTTCAGTCAAACCGGACCCCCGGTCTGTGTCGGTGGATTTCACGGCTCACTTTACACAGAGACGGTCAGAAGCAGACCGACCATTAAAAGCCAATAAATATCCTCTCCCAGACGATGGGAGAGCTGCCTGCTTTAACAACAAAACATCCTTCGGCTAACAGCTACACGCACAAAAAGCTAGCAAGCTAACACCAGCCTCGACTCCAAAGGATGATATTCATTTGTGAGAAAAAAAAACAAAATAAAAAGCTCTGACAGTATTGTATATCTACTAAGACAACCAATAGGAGACACTATCCAAGTCCCTGGTACCAAGTGACAAAGGAAAGAGCATTATTCCTGACTGGAAGCTGTCTGGCTGTAAGGGACTTTCCAGTTTGAGAGCAGCTGCTGAATAACGACAAAGGTGACGATGTAGCACCGCCCCTTGAAGGAACGGACAAATGAGCTTCCTCCATCGGTCAGGATGGTCTTGGCAACAACCAATCAGATAGGTGGTCACATGGTCGTACATAGAAAACATAAACATAGGGTTTTAATCAGTCGTTTTACCAGTCACCGTAATGGCTGTTATTTGTTATTCTCATATTTCTGTCTTTCAATACAACTTCCCAACATTTTAAGCGTCGTGTTTTATATGCCCTCACGGAATTTCTTCATCCCAGACAGTTATCACACTGTTTCTCACAATAAACTATATATATATATATATATATATATATATATATATATATATATATATATATATATATATATATATACACACACACACAGACACAGGTAAAAGCCAGTAAATTTAAATATTTTGAAAAACTTGATTTATTTCAGTAATTGCATTCAAAAGGTGTAACTTGTACATTATATTTATTCATTGCACACAGACTGATGCATTCAAATGTTTATTCCGTGTGTCGCAAAATTTGAATATTGTGTAAGGGTTAAATTTGGAAGACACCTGGTGCCACAAACTAATCAGCTGATTAACTCAAAACACCTGCAAAGGGCTTTAAATGGTCTCTCAGTCCAGTTCTGAAGCCTACACAAACATGGGGAAGACTTCAGATTTGACAGCTGTCCAAAAAGCGACCATCGACACATTGCACAAGGAGGGAAAGACACAAAAGGTTATTGCTGAAGAGGCTGGCTGTTCTCAGAGCTCTGTGTCCAAACACATTAATAGAGAGGCAAAGGGAAGGAAAAACTGTGGTCAGAAAAAGTGTACATGTGATAGGGATCACCGCGCCCTAGTCAAGATTGTGAAAAAAAACCCATTAAAAAATGTGGGGGAGATTCACAAGGAGTGGACAGCTGCTGGAGTCAGTGCTTCAAGATCCACCACCAAGAGACGCTTGAAAGACATGGGTTTCAACTGCCGCATACCTCGTGTCAAGCCACTGTTGACCAAGAAACAGCGCGAAAAGCGTCTCACCTGGGCTAAGGAAAAAATGAGCTGGACTGCTGCTGAGTGGTCCAAAGTCATGTTTTCTGACGAAAGCAAATTTTGCATTTCCTTTGGAAATCGAGGTCCCAGAGTCTGGAGGAAGACAGGAGAGGCACAGGATCCACGTTGCCTGAAGTCTAGTGTAAAGTTTTCACCATCAGTGATGGTTTCCCTGTTTCCTGAGATCCAGGGTCAACGCAGCCATCTACCAGCAAGTTTTAGAGCACTTCATGCTTCCTGCTGCTGACCTGCTCTATGGAGGTGGAGATTTCAGGTTCCAACAGGACTTGGCGCCTGCACACAGAGCAAAATCTACCCGTGCCTGGTTTACAGACCATGGTATTTCTGTTCTAAATTGGCCAGCCAACTCCCCTGACCTTAGCCCCATAGAAAATCTGTGGGGTATTGTGAAAAGGAAGATGCAGAATGCCAGACCCAAGAACGCAGAAGAGTTGAAGGCCACTATCAGAGCAACCTGGGCTCTCATAACACCTGAGCAGTGTCAGAAAGTCATCGACTCCATGCCACGCCAAAAGGAGCTCCAACCAAGTATTGAGCATTATACATGCTCATATTTTTCATTTTCATACTTTTCAGTTGGCCAACATTTCTAAAAAATCCCTTTTTAGCCTTAAGTAATATTTAAATTTTGTGACACACAGAATTTTAGATTTTCATTTGTTGCCACTTCAAATCATCAAAATTAAATGAAATAAACATTTGAATGCATCAGTCTGTGTGCAATTAATAAATATAATGTACAAGTTACACCTTTTGAATGCAATTACTGAAACAAATCAAGTTTTTCAAAATATTCTAATTTACTGGCTTTTAACTGTATGTATGTATGTATGTATGTATATGTGTGTGTGTGTGTATAAATATATATATTTATTTATATATATATATATATATATTATTTTTGGGGGGGATATATTTTATTATAAGACTCTTTTAATAATGTAAAAAAATTCTGGTTAAGAACTTAAGCTTCTGTTTGCATGATAAGCAAAATTAGAAAGTATGTAATATACCATAGAGTCCCCATAAGATTTGTTTGCAGATCTGTGATTTTATGGTCCTTATTTTTCTCCCAAAGAACAAGTGAACTTTGTTGAATTTCATGCAATCATGAATCATTTCAGAACATTTCATAAAAAAGCCATTTTACATTCAAATCTAACTAAAAATCTTTCAGAAAAACCAAGTTGTTACTTTCGGTCAGACAATGACCAGAACATATGTGTAGATCAACACTATTCGAGATCTCAGTCCCAACATTTTTTTTGTATTGGTATTTATCAATGACAGATAATGTTGCTCAAATTATATTTTCCCTCCCTGAATTCATAAGATCAAATAATGAATTGAGATTATGCTACTGTAGTAAAATATAAATTATATATTTTTTACACATATTTATGAAGATTGTTAACAAACATATCTACTTTTGTTGACTTGCTCCACCAACAATATTAAAATATTTTCCTTAATGATGGACTAGAACCTTTTAAAGCAAATAAATCACAGCCAACTGTGCTTCTTGTTCCTGTGCTGTGTGCTTTGTACCGTACAATTTGCAATATATTGAAGAAAAAAAGAGAAGACAACCAAGAGCAGGTTGTTCAGTTGCACAGTATAATTTCATCATAAATTAAAACAAAAAAACATGTACAGGAAATTCCTTCTGATTGGTAGGTAACCATGCCCAATACAATATACAGATTGTAAACACCAACAGCTTTTTGTTAAGAATTTCTTCCAGTGACAACATGTGTACATTCTAAGGGCAAATAAAAATATACCTTTTATTAAAATCCAAAACATAAGTTTCTATATTTTGCTGAAACATTCCAGAGACTGACTGCAGTTAACAATAATTCTATGTATACATTCCTCCACCATTAAAAGGTTTTGCAACGGACTCAAAGTAATCAAATGATATTCCTATATTATCATATAAATAAATCCTAATTTTTTCAACTTTCCGAACACCACAGAAGTTTGTAAAAGGTTGAAAATTCGAAACCTTACTCCATAACCCATCCACCAATCAAGTAAGAGGAGAACCGTTTTTGTTCATATAGATATAATCTGACACAGGATGTGGTCACAACTTTTGGGTCCTGTAGGTAGTTCTAGGAAAGAGGTGGGTCAAACAGGAGCAGTAGATGATGTCAACAGATGATTCTCACAATCTGTCTAAGCTGTAGTGGTTTGTGGTGGTTAAGAGTTTCCTTTAACTAGTAAAACGATGCAGCAGGCAGACAAGTGCACAGACCCGATCACTTTCAAAGGCCCGTTTGTTCAAGCTCAAGTAGTGCTGGAACCAGTCCCACAGACCAGGAGGCAAAAAGGAGGGAGTCTGCCTTTCTAAAAGACACGTTCCTCTGTCCTCTTAAAATAGGACAGTGTGTGTAAAAGGTGCTGTCTAAAGCAGGTACATCTAAAAAACATCTGCAAGTCTTGCTGGCTTTTTGACCTTGGAGAGCTGAAAGTCATGTGAATAGAAAAAAAAATACAGAAGGGGATTTCAGAAGTGGTTGTTTCAGTTTTGTGTTGTCTCAAAAAGAGACTAAAATTATACATTCTTACTAGCCAGTATTTGATACTTCAAAGTAATAAGCAAAAGTAAAGATCAAATGAAAGTTTTTGTTATACTGCTAAATACAGTGAATCAAAAAACATAGAGAGCACACAAAAGAACAAATAGAATTATACAATTTCAATATTTATAAAAATTTGGTCGAGTTTTTTGTACATGGCCTAAATATATCTGTATGATTGAGTTTTTATAACTTTACGTGTCAACTTAGTTAACACAATCAATAAAAAAAATAGGAAACATTTAAAATAATGCTTCTCCTTCATGTTTAGTTCTGTTTACCGCTGCAATGGGCATGTGTATAACATTGGAGAAGAAAAAAAAAATGGCCTTGTTTAGGGTTCTCCAATTCCAGTCCTCAGAGTTACTGTTTTGCAGCTTTTAGATGCATCCCTTTTTCAACACAACAAGAGATAGCTCCAGCTTTTGATTCAGCTGTGTTACAATAGGGATGTATCTAAAGTGTACAGGCCCATAATGCTGAAAGAGTGGATTTGGAGATCCCTGCTGTACTTAAATTAGAAAAATTTAACCCTTTTTTGCTTCTCTTTGCGAGTAGCCATAGTGAAACACCAACAAGTTTCACATAAGCACATGCCTCACTTCTCAACTCACTCGTTTGAGTTTCAAATCAGATCAGGAAATGAAGCTCAGTGTATTACTTTTCAGAAAACACAAGAAGTCAAATAAGGCCAGACAGAGCTGCAGATGTACACGCCAACAGCACACATCAGACCAAAAAAAACAACAAAAAAAAACAAAGCCTCCATATTTAATGAACAGAAAAACTAAGCCCAAACAGGCGGTGGCTGGTCAGGCTGGGTTTTGCACTATGGGACTGCAAACAGAAAGCGGTCACTGCACTTGTGTGCCCTTCTCTGTTTGTTATGGACTGCAAGGAACATGGACACCGTTCTCCCCAGTTCCCTTAGCTTTGTGCAAAGCAGCCTGGATACGGAAGTGCGTCCGTGATTCCATGGAGTAGTTTTTATAATTGTGCCTGAAACACAGCAGCAAAAAACATACAATTAGAAACAAAAAGTTGGTTCAATACGCGTATTAAATTATCTCACCAGGTGATTTATAGCCAATCCATAAAACTATTTTTTTCTAAAAATGCACGACATAGATATACATTTCTCTTTTCATGTAGATGAGTTTTACGATTACGTCCAAAGACATTTATACCCCAAGCAGATTTTGATTTTAAATTATATAAATTCCTCCAAAAAGTTAATGTCCGATTGAGTCCATTTCAAAATTTAATTCTTAATTAAAGTTTAATTTAGTTGTTGTAATTCACATTTTATGTTTATATGCTGTTTTTTCAGCTTTGAT